AAATGTTCATTGATCTGCATTGGCAAACCAACAGGAAAGACGGAGCATCCCCAGGGTTTCCATCGACTCGGACCGATCTCCCGCTTCTTTGAATGAGGCGACTTTTAATGAATTGAAAATAGACGAGGAACAGATTCACAACCGCCAACACCGGTAACGGAAGAAGAAGGAGAAGATGCCGGCGTGCATGATAAAAACGTAAATGAAAAAAAGAAAAAAGAAAAAAGAAACCTTAAAAAAAGATAAAAAGTAAAGTAATGATAATCAATAATAATCAGGTGAATAAGAGTAAGAACGTGGCAGACTTAATAAAAATAATATTAATGTAAAGTAAAATAAGAAAAAAATCATTATAATGGTAATCAATAAGAATGATATTATTATTATTATTATTATTAATGAGAAGAAGAGGAAAAGAAGTGGACGAGGAGGTTGATACGAAAATCATTAACAAGAAGTAACGGAAATCAATAATAATAATAATGATTATGATAATAACAAAAAATTAAAATAATAAAAATGTAAAAAAAAAATGGAGGACTGATGTCAAGCAAAGTACTAATAATTTTAATATCATTAATAATTCAAGCCGATCTAGGTTAGCAGAACAGAGGTCTTAATCGGAAATCAAAAAATAGAAAAGAAAAAGAAACGACCTTTCAGACAGTGTGTGCTAATTTTCCCACCATTAAAATAATACCACTAAAATGTGTTAATAAAACACAACACCGGGTAAGCCTAAAAGTGTGTTTAAAAAAAACAAAAACAAAATCAGCCTCGTTTTCAGAACGAACGAAAATAGTTATGGATTATGACTATACCAGTCGTGACTATTAAAACTAGAGCTCGTGCTCCAAATTCAAAGCGCCTTTCAAATGTATTCTTGAAATTAGAAACAATCCAAACGACAACAATACTGAGGAAGGTCCGGGAACAGTAAAAGAAACATGATATCACTTTATACCTAGATACGGCGAGTGTAACATCTTGTGACACGATAATTGCGACATCTGCATAGAAAGGGATAATATGTGATTTATTTCCCAGAATCAATGTGATATTTATCCCAGTCTGTTTCGTGTTTTATGACCAGCAATAAAGTCTTCAAAAGAAGCCACCCCAACTTCTTTGGTGTGTATCCTACGGCCACATTTATATCCTACATTATCTAATCGTTGTAGAGTAGTTTTCACAATGGAGGTTTGTATTTCACTGAGTCGGTCCTAAAAAGGTTCGACGTAAAAAAAAACGTTAGGAACTTGAAATAATAGTTAATGACGCAACAATCTAGTTGTGGTGGTTGATGCTTTAATGTCCGACATCGACTGACTCACCAACTCACTGAGCGATATTCAGTCTCCCCCACACGAGTGCATCATGTAGCACAAAGCCGGTTTAACGTGCGATCTCCGAGCCCGTAGGATCGGCCAAAAATATGCGCATTGAACCCGTATAAACCCGTATAAACGGGTTCAGGGTCTTACCTCCCCGAAAGAGGGAATCTGCCCGGTTTTCGGCGTAGCCTCGTTCAGGGGCCCTTTCCTCCCGCCCTGAAGGCAGAGAGTTCAACCGATCAGCTGGTCGTCCGACTTCAGACTGAACTCAGACCAACTCAATGAGGGATATCAGTCACCCCCACACACGAGGGCATCATGGCACAAGGCCGGTTTAACGTGGGATCTCCGAGCACGTGGGTTCGGCCAAAAATATGCCCATTGAACCCGTATAAACAGGTTCAGGGGTCGGTTTATTCCCCCGAAAGAGACTCCGCCCTTCGGCGTAGCCTCGTTCGGGTTCCTCCCCGCCCGAAGGCAGAGAGTTCAACCGGTCAGCTGGTCGTCCGACTTCAGACTGAACTCAGACCAACTCAATGAGGATATCCAGTCACCCCCCCCCACACACACACGAGGGCATCATGTGGCACAAGGCCGGTTTAACGTGGGATCTCCGAGCACGTGGGTTCGGCCAAAAATATGCCCATTGAACCCGTATAAACGGGTTCAGGGTCGGTTTACCTCCCCGAAAGAGACTCCGCCCTTCGGCGTAGACTCGTTCGGGTTCCTCCCCGCCTGAAGGCAGAGAGTTCAACCGATCAGCCGGTCGTCCGACTTCAGACTGAACTCAGACCAACTCACTGAGCTCACTGGCGACTGCTACTACTTATTATATCTCGGAGAGTCTATTAACAATAGAATAGGTATGTTCCGGTATAACACTAATGTAAAAGGAAAAGCAAAAACGGAAGTATTACAAAATTTAAAATAAAAAAATATAATAAGAAATTTGACTAAAATTCATAATAAAATATATTTGAATCCTTTAAATAATAATATTCTGAATGTCTTGATATACAGAGGAAAACTTCGGGACAATTCCTTAATAATTTTGGATACAAATGTGATGGTAGAAAACACATTAAACAGAAACTGGTCGACAGAACACGCCCTAAAGTGTCACCCTTTCTTCTTTACTCCATCAGTAAACAACTAATCTCTCAATGCATACTCTCTGCATAATTAAACAACAGTGCAAGGGCCGGGTTCCGGGGATTTCGAACCTGTGGTATGACTTTCCTCATTGCTCTAAAGAAAGGTGGGGTCGGTGTAATATCAAGGCCATCGTGACAGTAGCCGCGGGTCCTGGGTGATTTTTGGACTGCCTCACATTAAAAACGACATTGTGTCGCATCCTTCTCTCGTGGAGAGATAGGTAAATAACATCAGTGTACGATCATAACACATGTTTTGTAATGGTTAACAAGCTTATCTCGCTAGATTAATTACGACTGAGCAGGAACTTCATTCCTTACAGGGGCCTCTTTATGTTGTAATTATGGGTAATCTTCGTCGCCAAACTGTTGTAACCTAGGGAAGGTTACTGAATAGAATCATCGCGCGAAGGTTTGTATTGAACGATAATACTTAGAACAAAAACAACGCGTATATGATTCGCCAGCGGCGCGTAGAAGGAGTAGTCAACTGCTACAAGGGGGTTAAGTAAATTCCACAATGAATCTCTAACTACAGACCAACATACACTATTTACTACTGTATTTATGGGAATTGAATGGGGACATACTCATTATCATCCGTACGTATGCTACAACACTTTATTTGCAGTTTTATGTTACATTTAAACTTGTTCTATGTACCGTGTCCCCTCAGGACTCAGGCGATCATTGTTTTCCACATATTTCTGTCCATTGCATCTCTTAATATATTTTGTGTTTTTGTTATTTCCGTCATCCATTTATTTAAGCTCATTAAGTATGTTATGTGCTGTTTTCCACTGTAATTCTTGCCATCAAACTGTCTTGTGAGTATCAGATTTTCCAAGCACTCCTTCCTCATTATGTGCCCTAGAATAAAAACATCTGGGAACAAGAAACAACAAACCAAGCGTTGAGGCTTTCCGGTAGCAGGCTTATCTTAGTAAAGGACAGCCAAGCACTCTTTCAATCCTGAGTGCTCATTGTCCATAGAGAATGCGTTGCCAGCCGCGCGTCGTTATATAGAAATGACAGAAGAAAGTCAGATTTCTTGATAGCTGAGAGGTAAAGCTGATCTGTTAGGCCAAGATATTTCAAGTGTCAGAGGTTGTCCCCGCAAGGGACACCGATCGGTTGAACTCTGCCTTCGGGCGGGGAGGAAACCGAACGAGGCTACGCCGAAGGGCGGAGTCTTTTTCAGGGAGGTAAACCGACCCTGAACCCGTTTATACGGGTTCAAAGGGCATATTTTTGGCCGAACCCACGGGCTCGGAGATCCCACGTTAAATCGGCCTTGTGCCACATGATGCCCTCGTGCGGGGGTGACTAAATACTGTTCCGTCTGAAGTCTGAATTTGGAGTTCCGTCTGAAGTCTGGAGTTCAGTCTGAAGTCTGGAGTGAAGTCCGTAAGGAGTCTGTCAGTCAGTCAGAATGAGCGAATCAGTCAGTCGAGTCATAGGCAGTCCGAAACAGAGTCGCGCTCAGACAATTACTACTAAACCTGATTGTTCGTACTAACACTTTCTACTTCTCTGTATATATTCCTGTTTGTGATATATCTGTGTTATTCCATATCCGTGTTCGAGTTCTTCTTTATTGGTTCTACCTTGGACTATCACCGTGGTACAAGGAACCGGACCATAACATTTCGTTTCATTGCGACCGTTCACTACGTTTTTGGTGCATAAAGACACGAAACGAAAAGAGTGAAGCAACTTCGAGTTTCACGAGTCCCTTCTGGGAAAAGTTGGAAGGGGCCCTCTTTGTATGTTTACAATTGGAACATAATCGTTTGTGCTAGTAGGTCAGGCTCCACGGTTGTTTTCAGGCCAATACACCAAAGTACCATTGTCCTCGTTTATTACCGAAAGACAAATCAGCCGTCTTTTCACGGGGGAGGTTTTTTGTAGTATTAAATAGCTCAGCATATATGGTCTTTATTAGCAACTTTCATTGTCGCCAGTGGGAAAATTTTGTTGTCTACTTATTAGCTACGGGGAGAGTGTGTAATGAGTGAGAGAAACACACCAATCCTGGCATTTACAGAACTATGTATTACGAGGTGGAAATTATTACTGAAGAAAATCGAAGAGATAAACTTCTTTTTTTTATCAGGAAATCTTGCGTACACGTGTTACTGGAAATATATCTTATTTCTGAAATGTGGTATATTTGATAGTGTCAGTTGGCAATAGCAATTACTGCAAAAATAAAAACAGGAAAAAGATGAATAATGCGGTAATGAATCTCAGTGGTACGTGAATTGATGAATCAGCTGTTGGGCTCATTTTTAATTTGGAAATTATTTATCTCTAATTTGCAACATATACTTCTCTAGTTTATACACACAACGTTACAAAAATTTTAGCAAGCACAAAAAAAAGGAAAACATTGTCAGATTGTGGATTTCACAGTTCTAAGAAAAAGAAAAAAGTCGGTCAAATAACAAACTCTAGCAAGAGAAGACCAAAAAATATACTAAATGCAAGAATTATGACTGTTGTTGCTTTAATGCGAAGAACGCTAACAAAACAAGCCATCAAAAAGTACTTATATACTGTAAGTATATACATTCTTTTATAAGTCTATAGGAGGCACGATGAATTAATGGGTATCGTCTCGGACTGAGGAATCGGAGAGCCGAGTTCGAATTCCAGTCAAAATCCATTACATTTACTTACTTGCTAATACCCTCGGAAAAAGTATGAATCTTCTATTTCTCCCTCCAGCTATGTGTAAATAGCAGGACAGACCGGGTTCTATACCTTGGATGACAGCTGATCTATCGCAGAAAGAAATATCAACCTACCTCGGGAAAAAAATCTACCTCGTCAGTCATGTATCGAAAGATACATGATCGCATAAGCGTGTATCACGCATGGCACATAACTGACTGATACTGTAAGTCCAAGGAAGAATCAAGACAGACAACAGCATTACTGAATATAGCCAGAACACTTCTTGATTACAGGAGGTTTAGTGTTAATAAAACTCCGCTATAATTCACCAGATAAAGCAACTCCTCAATTAACGACCAGACCCCGTTTAATGAATTGGTCGCTAAAAGCGCTGGTTGCTATGTGAGAAGTTACCTGGCCGCTATTTCAGGCATTTTACGCGTGTATTGGATTTTTGACAATCTACTTCAGATAACTGCAAGTAATTTCTTTTATTTACTTTTTATTTATTCATTTTATTTATTATGATTTATTTCGATGCTGATTGGGTAAAGAGTTTGATTTTAACTAGTTACCCCAAAATTGAAGCTTATGCCATACTTAATCGTTACAAATTGAAAATAGTCCAGCTTTAGGGAAAGCGACAGAGAAAGAGAGAGAGATTAGAGAAGTGAAAACGAGAGAGAGAGAGAGAGAGAGATTGGAGGAGAGACAGCAAGAAAGAGAGAGCGAGAGCGTGAGAGAGATTGTAGGAAAGGTAGCAAGAGAGATTGGAGGAGAGGCAGCGTGAGAGAGAGAAGAGGAAAAGGGACTGAGCGAATGAGAGTCAGATTAGAGGAGAGGCAGCAAGAGAAAGAGAGAAAGCGAGTGCGTGAGAGATTGTAGGAAAGGCTGCAAGAGAGAATGAGCGAGAGAATGAGATTGAGGAGAGGCAGAGTGAGAAAGAAAGAGAGAGATTGAGAGTGAGAGAAAGATTGGAAGAGAAGCAGCAAGGGAGAGAGAGAATGTGTCATTGGAGGAAAAGCAGCGTGAGAGAGAGAGAGGGAGTGAGAGAGAGTGAGAATGAGTGTGTGAGAGAGATTGAATGAGAGTCAGCAAGAGAGAAAGAGAGTGAGAGGGAGAGAGATTGTAGAAGAGGCAGCAAGAGAGAGTGAGCGAGAGAGTGAGAGTGAGAAAGCGATTAGAGAAGAGGCAGCGTGAGAGCGAGAGAGAGAGAGAGTGAGAGTGCGAATAAGAGTGAGAGAAATACTGAAGGAGGCAGCAAGACAGAGGTGCAGAGAGATTGGAGGATAGACAGCAAGTGTGTGTGTGTGTGTGTGTGTGTGTGTGTGTGTGTGTGTGTGTGTGTGTGAGAGAGAGAGAGAGAGAGAGAGATTTGTAGCCTTCAGGGAAAAAACTGCAGTGTTCGGGAGTGGAGATAACGGTAGTAATTGTCGGGTAAAGATTTCAAATCTAAAACCGGAATTGCAAAATAAAAAATAAAAGACCTTTTGTGCAAACAAAAATCCCGTGCTAAAAATTTTGAATCCTCCCAATTTTGATTGGTTTTCTTTTGTTGTTTACATTGTTTTTATTTGTTGAGTTGAGATTCATCAATCCCGTCCTCTTTTCCTCAACGACGCATTTACGCCATTTTTAATGTCACTTTCCCACAGACCACATTCTTCTTTCTGGTCAAGTTTCAAATTTCTTTCTCTTTTTCTTTTTCTTTTTTCCTTTTATCAAGATTCTTTTTCCTTTTCTTTCTGTCTTCGTTTCTTTCTTCTTTGATATTAATTGTTACTTTCTTTTCAATTATGCATTTTGTGTTTATCAAATTTGTTTTTTCTTTCGTTTTTTTCTTCCTTTCTCATTTGCTTCTTAATTTATTTATTAGTTTCTTTATTTCCCTTCAATACATTCATTTGCTTTCTTTCTTTCATATTTGCTTTTTTTCTTTTTAATACATTCTTTCTTTCTTTGTTTCACTTTCTTTCGATTATCTCTATTCTTTCTTAGTTCCATCATTTACATTTTTCTTTCTTTCTTTCTTTCTTTCTTTCTTTCTTTCCCTATGCTGTATTCTTTCGTATTTTCTTTATGCACATTTTCATACTTTATCTCATCTATAAACGTTTGTTTGTTTGTTTGTTTCTTTCTTTCTTGGTTGCTTCATTCTCTCTTTCTTTCCCTATTCTATATTAACATTTGCTTTTTCTGTACATTTTCTCCTTTTCGCTCACCAATAAACACATCCTCTCTTCCTCTTCTTCTTCTTCTTCCTTTCTTTCTTTCTCGGTTGCTTCATTCTCTCTTTCTTTCCCTATTCTTTCTTATTTTCTTTTTGTACCTTTTCATTCTTTTTCTCATCTATAAACATCATTTTTCCTTCCTTTCTTTCTTTCTTTCTTTCTTCATTCATTCTTTCTTCACAAAAATTCCTTCAGTTTTAGTAAACTGTAAGATTGTCGGTTGGATTCACATTTTCTTCTCTATGATCTTAATTCAGAGTTTTCCTTTCCCTCATCTGGTTGCCAATCAAGGCTAAAGTTTGCATAAAAGGAGAGGTGAACACAAACAGTAACAGCCTGAAATTGAACCCTGCTCACCATTCCCATTTTATATGCTATTAAACATTAGACGTGAACCACCATTTCCAATATGAGTGACACATTGACAGAAACTGATTTAAATGCATAGAAATGGATCTGTCTTAAAACTGCTTAAACCTGAAATAGAAAAAAAAATTCAAAAAAGGAAAAAGAGAGAAGGTAAACTCAAATGCGTGCGTCCAATTAAATTCATGTTAAATTGCGATCGCCATTTTGGACCACACAATAGATTCTTTATGCGCTCATTTTGGCCGGCAAATATGAGGCGATAGCAAATAAAGTGATAAAGCGTTTCATCATTGGGCAAATAGACAAATCAATCGGCAAACACGCATGGGAGAGCAAACATTTTTGACTATCAATTGAATGCTTCTCTTTGTACGAAATGCAATGATGAACTCTTTTCCTACTCAGCATTCTGTCTGTTTTGAATAAAATTGCTCGTTTGAATGGAATCTTAGCATCTATCTATCTATCTATGTGGATTTCTTTGTAGTTTAGCATGTATATATATATATATATATATATATATATATATATATATATATATATATATATATGACAAAATGCGTAAATATAGGTAGATATACGTAGCGAATAATTGTATAGTAATTCACTACAGTGTATGAAAAACAGTGATCAATGTAAAATATCACAGCTATTTAAATCGTAAATGTTGATTTGGGACAAAATTCAAATTCAAAATTAAACTAAAAATTATCTAAATATTTTAACAACGTTAATAATCCACCCCAACGTAAATTACCACGCGATAGCCAGAAAAATTATAAAACTATGTTATCCTAAAATAAAAATACCAGCAATTGAAAGCTGAGTCGGCATGAAACTCAGAGTTGTGAAATCAATATTAGGTATTATGCTTATATATATATATATATATATAGAACGATGTGTAAATTGTTGCCATTTTAGTTTTTTAATTTCGCGCATAAACGTTGTTTCATTTTTCTTTTTTTTGGCTACACATTATAGCAGCGTAAGTCGGGCACTGTCTGTGAGAAAAAGAGCAACATGACAGAATTCACTCCGCCAGAAATTTGGAAATGGCTTGCTGTACTGCTTGGCATTCGCACCGGAAACTCCAATACGAAGATTCCCGAGTGTTTTGCTGTCAATCTGAGGACAGTGCAGAGGATTCGGAAAGACTTGAATGAGTCTAATGGTGATTACGAAGGTATTTGGAGTGATCACTAGTGATGGCAACATTATGCTTCCATTCATCATCCCACAGGCCCTCAGGCTCCACACGTAGGCCTACGTTAAGTGCCTTGAGGTGGTAGTGCCTCCTTGGGTCAAGAGGGAGGCTGATGGAAGACAGTATGTCTGACAAAAGGACTCGGCCCCATATAACAAATGCAGAAGAAACCAGTCATCACTCAAATCATTTCTGCGATTCATCACACCTTATATCTACACACTTACTTCCACAGACTGCAACACGCTTTGTTATTATGTGTAGGGCGCAGTTGAGCGAGAGATCAACAAACACCAAAGATGAACTGAAGGCAAGGATTATGAGAGTATTCATCAACTTTAACAAAATGATCGTCCAGATGAGATGTATGACATTCCGAAGTCGTCTGAAGGCCATTGTTGAAGTCAATGGCGATTTTATTGAGTAAATTTGTTCTTTAGTACTTCAAGATATTTTTGTATAATTTTGGTAAATATGACTGTTAAAATGAGATGCCAGTGTTATTGTCTTTTTTGCATAATATTGGAGGCAATTTCTTCAGAGCAACATATATATATATATATATATATATATATATATATATATATATATATATATATATACATACATACATATATATATACATACATATATATATATACATACATATATATATATATATATATATATATACATATATACATATATATATACATACATATATACATATATACATATATATATATATATATATATATATATATATATATATATATATATAGTTTATGCAAAAACTAGGTAATCCGTATGGGTGGACCCAAGGAGGATGATATCGAGAGAGCTCAATGTAAATTCAGAGTAAATATATTTGAATAAAAACAGATCATTTTAAGGTTCCATGTAATAAGTTATTTCACCACAACCCCTTCAAAGGGCTCTGGATCATGAGACATTACTTCCAAAATTTGAAATGAAAAATGAAAAGAAACTTACACTTATATATATATTTTTGTACTCGGAAATTTGAACTCTCTTTTTCTGATTCTAATACAAATAACCTTTTATTTTTTATTTTTCTTAAAACTTCTTCGTTGATTACATCATCCTCCCATCATATTCTCAGTATCCGTTTCTCTTGCCCCAAGCCTTTTCTACGTCTTTCAGAAATTGGTACTGCATTCACTGTCATATAAGATGAATGATATTACACAACAGCTAAGAACTTTTTGACATTTTCCCGTTTCTTCATACTTTCTTTAGCGTTTGGAAGGCATTTTCGCTATTACAAAACGCCTTTTAAATTCCGTGTCACATATTCCGACATTTTACAAATAGTTGTCAACAGTTGTTTGAATCTGATGTCTCTAATACGGAGAACGCATTCTCGTTTTTTCCCCTTGTTAACAACTACAGATTCTATTTTTTCCAATTTAAGGTTAGTCTTTTCTTCCCGCTTTCCATCATTATTATCGTATAGAAGTTATTCAACAATGCATTGTATCTTTGATTTTTCGCGTGTTTTCACTCATCCCTTAGTTCGTATTGATTTCAGGATTAGATAAAATATGCATGTTTTCTGAGAGAATAACTAGAAATAGTTTATAATCGATGTTTTGTATTTATCCCAAACGGCTTTTATCACAATATAAAGCGTTCGTCGTCTAGTTTCCTTACTTCTGCTCATATCTTTTGACATCGATATTACACCCACCTGTACGAAGATTTCAACGTTTGTTTTATTCGATGCAGCAAGGCACGTTAACGCCATCTTTTTTCCTACGTAACTACAGAGATCGTTCAACATTTATTTTACATTCAACTGCAGGAATCATTAAAAAAAATACCCGTAAAAACATAAAGATTTCTCACAAGATTACAACCTGTATTCCTCCGTCTCTCTCTCTCTCTCTCTCTCTCATTATACATACATATATAAAGACATTTTTTATGTCTATACATTCTTTTTATAGATATGAATATTTAAGTAAATGCTCTGTTTATAATAAACAGTATGAAACAACAGTTACCGTCGTGAATGTCCGAGAAATTTTCACAGAAAATATTCGTCCTCCGACAGGATTCGAACCTGCATCCTATACGGAACCATCATTTAGCTTGACATGCCTTAAACCGATTTGGCAACAGAGGAGCTTTCGGTTAGCAAGGTCGAATTTACTGTATTTGAACTTCAATCTTCTATGAATCTCTCACGTACATTCATATCTGCTCATGGCGTATTAAATGTAAACAAATGACGTCACACATTATGAAGTCCAAGAATTATTAGACATTTTTATAAATTTTATAAAAAGAATGTATAAACATAAAAATGTCTTAAAATGATTGTCGGACTTTGTCCATTTCATAATGTGTGACGTTATATATATATATATATATATATCAATTGATAATTAGTAGTGATAATTCCAAGGAGGACATTAATCTAAAGAGAGCTCAATATGCAAGAACAGAGCAATATAATAATGAGTACAGAATCCTTAAAAATCCATTCGATTATAATTTATTTTATGAACACAGAAAAATAATCTTTTCAGATCGAAGTTTTTTTTAATAACGAAAAGGTCGGTTCTGAAGAGCTGAATATATTTTTGTATATCCATGAAATAAATTATAACCCAATGTATTTATAAGGATTCTGTTGTCATATATATATATATATATATATATATATATATATATATATATATATATGTGTGTGTATATATATATATATAAATTATATATATATTTAGAATTTAAAAAAAATATATAATAAAGGCAACTAAGGTGAAATCTTAAACAGATTTTTTCTAGAACTCTATAGTTATCAAAGTTTTTAATCACATTTTATTTGTTTGTGTATTTCAGGTACTCTGTTGATGAACCCTTAAAAATGGCTACTCCTCAAGAAAAGGAGGAATTTGTGTCATGGTTTATTGAAACGAAATTGGATACGGAGGCTCAGCGAAACTACAGAACTAAGGATAGAAGAAATCCACTATTACGTTCGACAATTCGTGCATGGTTCCAAAAATTTATGGAGACAGGGAGAGTGTTGAATAAAGGGGAGAGTGAACGGCCAAGAACATCTGAGGAAAACATCGATCGTTTAAATCGAGTACCGCCTTGATATATTTCGCACAACTAATGGTGCCTATATAGAGTTGTATAAAAAAAAAAAAAAAAAAAAAACAAACTTCAATATCTACTCCTCATTTTGTAACAATTTCTGTATATTTGTCTGTTCATTTGCTTTTGTAATAATTTTTTTTAAAGAGACTTTATGGAGACTGTATATAATTCTTTATTAACTCTCGAATGACCTGAAGACTGTGTTTAAGCATGAGACTCTCGCCGTATGTATGTAAGCAATTCAATATAAATACAAGGAATAACATGTAGTAAGTTTAATTTTAACAGATCCCCAAATGGGGCTTATGACAGATAATGTGTTAATGAAGAGCAATGCGTTTATAGAATTCGCCCATCTCTCAACAGTGCTCAACCGAAAGATTTTCGAGAGCGTTATATATATATATATATATATATATATATATATATATATATATATAATATTAGTGGTTTAATTTAATTTAGGTCAGCGATGAATTATGCATCGAAAAATAATTCATATTTATCTGTATCTCACTCATTTAAACCGTCATCTAACTCCTCTCTTTAAAACTTCTCTCTGTTAAATTTTAATCCCCACCTTCACTTTTAGGCCTTCCTCTTCTTCTTTCGTCTGTTACCCCTCTCTAAAGCTTTCATTTACTTCTCCCATTCGTCCCCCACTCTCATACATACACTCTCACTAAATTTTATTTTTTATTCCCGGAGTTATTTTTTCCGATCTCTTTTTGAATTTATAGGTCTGATGAATTGGATCGTAATTACGATTCCAATGTAATAAATTATGACCACGGAATATTAGTGTTTAAGCCTTTTTATTATATATATATATATATATATTGTTGTGGTAGGATCCACCTAATTTGCATAGTGGAGTACCGACCATATAAATATGGTTGGTACCGGGAAGAGAAGAGGAGGAATCAAGAGATTCAACCAGAGACTCTGCCCGACTGCGACTCAGTCAACCCATTCTCCAGGAACGGTCTTCCCAAGAATATACAAAAGACTATATGTAAATATTGTGTACACTTTATTTATTTTGTTCTAAGTACATTTTGTGTTGTATTATTATTCCATGCATTAGTCAAGTTTCAACAATATATATATATATATATATATATATATATATATATATATATATATATACGTAGAGAGAGAGAGAGAGA